GCATTATCACGTGTTATTTTGATTTTTAATTTACCGAGTACCCGACAACTCCGACAACCCGGCAAGTACTCGGCTAATAAATTGCCGAGTGTCCCGTTACTTATGAAAACAGCTGTAATCGGAAACTAAAAACAGTTTTGACGGTTAATTAACCGGTTAAGAGGTTATTTTGTTAACCGGTTAAAATATTTAATCTTAACTCTGGCCAAAATTTAATTTTCGGGCAGAATTAAATTATTTTGTGATTACAAAATTTCGCTAGTTTTGCCCAAATTTATAGTGTCGGCCTGAGTTAAATTAACTGGTTATTAACCGGTTAAGAATTGTTGGGCCGGTTCCAATCTCTAAACGGTGATAATTGTTTTAATTTTTTAAGTATAGAACAGTTGTAATAATTTTAATAATTTATAAATTAGAAAACAAAAAGCAAAATTGCATCAAAAATGTTTCACTATGTCTATCATGTGACATGCTTGTTAGATGTCTACTCAAAATTTAATTTATTTGATTTATTTTTTTAATTATTTAAAAAACTTGACACAAAATGAATTTCAGAATTCTGAGTTAATTCATGTTTTAATAATTGTTGTATTAATTGCCAATTAATTAGACTAATGGATTTAAAGTCATCATTAAACGGTTGATTTTGGTGATTTTCTGACTTTCAATTCTGAACCCTATTCTTATGGATTACTCCAAAGGATAGGTATAGCAGTCTCACTCCAAAATCCATTTACAAATAGATTTGAATACTTTGCAAATTGTAAGACTAAATAAGAGCGTCGTCTTTGTTAAGTTTAGATATTTTCAATAAAAAAAAAAATAATTAAAAAGGAAGAAATCGGATACATGAAAAATTTATGATAAAAAGAAATAATATTAAATTAAAGTTTATGTTAAAAAATTTAAAGAATGTGGCTCGAACAACATTTTTTAAATAAAACATATCTTTTTTTAATACTAAGGTTACAGAATAAATTTTTGAAGTTTAAAGCTTCCGGTAACCTTATTACTAATTGGTTAAGCTTTATTTTAGGTTCAGCGATAACTCTGTAGATATTTTCTTTAGAAATCATTAAGAGATTTGGAGATTATGAAAACTATATAGAAACCCTGCCTGTAAAAACATGTCATGAGACATAGTAAATCATATGATCCGTAATATGATTTTACTAGCAACGATATGGTCTTAGATGAATTATTTGTCACCGTTTTACAAATTTTTTTATTCTGGATCAATGTAACGGCTAAATATTTTTCTTTACCCAAACGAGATTTTTTACTTCTCTCATTACATTATAGTTTGTGTTTTTCTTTAAGGCGTTTCTAAGTACTTTCATATGATCCCTCATTATGGCATGGCACTATGCTCGCCCTATCTTGGTGTTTGGTTGTTGTGTTGTCATTCCATATATTTTTTTATTAATTATTAATATTTGCCTTAGGTTTATTTCATTAAATAAATATCTCCAATAATAAATTTTTGCCTTAAATCCATATATTTTTGAGAATAATAAGAAGTTAAATGATCTATTTCCACGTTTGCTATTATTGTTTTCAAAGTTTATTCGCTTTCTACATATAAATTGCAATGATGCTTGCGATGAACAGTATTATAAAGCCTTTTCTTTCTTCTGCAAATATCAACGATAGTAAAGACACTGTTACAAGAACAGATTACAGAGACAAAAAAAAAATAAACATCAAATACTTATTACAATTTCCGAAAAATCATGATATGACCATTTTTGTTGCTTTTTTTTTTCTGCTTAAAAATTTATTTTATTATCTTAGCGACCAAAAAAATTTATTGTGATCACTAGTTGTATTGCACGAGAAAAATTACGTATGGTTGTACAACAGAGTTTATTTAATAAACCACCTTACAAATCAGAAACTCTTTCCGCCTTTTTTTTAGTAAAAAAAAAAATGGCTTCATTTTGATTACAGAATGTTTAGAGAATATTTTTTTAAATTTTCATGATATACCAGCCAGGGATACAAGCATCAATTCGGCAACAATTATCAAAAGCACCAATACATCAATTGGAGATTTGTTAGCTTGCACCCATTTCATCATTTTCGTGATTTGGCTTATCTAAAATGTTGTATAAAGAAATATCAAATATTCAGTCAATATTTTAAATTAATTCAAAAATGTATTCCTCAATCTGATATTGAGCTAACCTTAAAACTAAATTTAGCTATGCACTTTAATTTATCGACCTTTAATTATATTTCTTTTATCCGTAGGTTGATTTTTCATCATGTACTCAAAAGGAAAGTCTAGAGTTAAGAAGTCTATCCTTCAAAGATGTAAATGGAAAAGCCATCGAATTACTAGGACAGCTCAAAAATATTACAAGGCTGAAACTAATTTGGTGTCATAAATTTAATTTTAAATTGAATTCTTGGATAAGAAATTTACCAAAGATTGAAGAATTTGAATTTATGAGATTCTATATTGGTTATATGTCAATAAGCTTTATAATTAGATTAATTCAAACTGCTTCACTTACGTTAACTCGATTGGTTGTAGATTATGAAATGGTGGATGTCTTTGATTACCAAGTTACTCAAATATACAAATAAATTCCACTTTTCTTGCATTCATTAACTCATTTAACTCTTACTCAGATCCGTCAAACGGAGTAGATCCATATATTTACATACTGTATTCAACCAGTTTACCTTAGTATTATCCCTATTGGAAAGCTTGAAGGTTACCTTGAGAATGTAATTTCCAAAAGTTTACAAACAATTCGGTTTAGGAAGGTTGATTGTGTAAATAGTTACACATTAGTGTATTCCTTGGAGAAGTGTATAAATAACGGTGGTAAGTTGAAGTATTTTGAGATTAAAGGAAGATGCAATGTGAGTCAAGAATGTATTGATCTTGTTAGACAACTTGATAATTAATTGTAGGCATTATCATGTACTGTATTTGTCTTATTTTTAATAAACATCTTTGAATTTACCCATTCCTGGGTGAATTTAAATTAGCAATAATTTGTGATTGCGAATCTTTTCGAGGTTGAAGATTAATTTTGGAGTAATGATTAAACTTGGCATCTATTTTTCGCCAATTGCAGCTTAAAAAACTTTCTGGTTCATTTATTTATAGTCATTCTGAATTGAGTTTCGGAAGATGGGATTGCAACAAAGCTTTTTTGTTCAATCATAAAATTAGTTTAGTACGTTTCTTAAATAATATTGCATACATCCCTGAAAAAAAAAATAATAATAAATTTTTTTTATTATTATTGAACATAATAAATTTTTTAGAGGAACTGATACCGACTACTTTAGCTTACATTCATATTACTCTAACCAAAGGTATAGTATAATGTGTATAATATGTCCATCTGATGATTAACACCAATTAAATTAAATATATATGCATATATATAAATAGTTTTCCATGACCAATATTAATTCCATCTTTTCTATTTCTGAATTTTTACTGAATGTATATTAAAATTTGTTGAATCCATGCTAATTATGCAATTTGTTAACATGAAAAAATTGATTTCTTGCAAAATTGTCGGATTTGTTCATCATATGACATTTTCATTATTTTTAAAATTTAGCAAAACAGAATTAGTTAGAACCTTTGCATTAATAAAATTAAAATAAAATAGAACGTCAATCTTATTTAAAGATTTTAAATCAAAAATCTTGTATACTTGCGTGAACATACATCTTTAAATTCTTTTTTAAATTTTACAATCCTGAAAAAGTTATAAATGTTAAAGTTCAAACTACTTTGCTCAATGATTTTTTAAAAAGTAATTTTAAGTTTGAGATGCCTTACATTGGTTACAAATATTGCTGTAAATTTAATTAAATAATTTCATAATCGAAACGTTCACAACTAGCGAAAATTTTTATCAAACCATTTATTTATATGAAAAGTCTTCACTAGTATTATCATACCATGAAAATTATATGCCTCAAAAAGACCACTTTCCATGAGTATTTACTACCCCGTCCAATATGTTAATTCTCATTAAATAACGCAGTTTGTTTAGGAACGTATAAAGTATTATTGAAGCTGTTTGATTCTCGCTCTTTTACAAAACATACTTAATCCAACAATTCTTTAACCTTTCTTTTTTATTATATCCATTAATTTTTTTATTTAATACTAAACACTGTAATAAGGCATTGACATATTTTCAAAATATAATTTAGGACGTTAAGATATTAAAATTCAAGCGACACTAATGGTAGTAAATTATATTTCAATAATATTTATCTGTAACTTGCGTTACTAGTTCATTTTTGTCCGAAGCATAGCAGAGGACATTTTACTTCTAGGTCATTTAAATGCAAGGTCGTTCTGTCCGTCCAAATTTGACAAGCCTGATAACCAATGACATTTTGTTTATGTTATCACGTGTTACGTCTTTTGTGTTACAAAATAATTAATCATGTGAAATATGAATTTACCATACCATGCTTCGGATCCCGTTCCCTAGTTTATTAAATATGTTTATCATTTTGGAAAATGTGAGAAATATAATATATCAAAAATATTTTTAAAATAACGTTGCAAAATACATACAAAATTTAATATATATATCGTTTCATATATCAAAATCCAGTTCTTTAGAAATATAATCTATGAATTATTGACAATAATTAATATATTTTAATTGTTTTTAAAACATCACTTTACTATTACTTACCTTGATCGGATTTATTGCAATTATTCTCATTGAATTTGACTTTTTTTGTGTTTTCTTCTAAAATAACGGAGAACAATTAAGTAAATTTATTAATATTATTTGATTACTTAAACAAATTTATACATACCATTGTCACTATCGACAGATTTTCTTTTGCCTTTAAAAAATAAAATTTGTTAATAGTATCGAGTAATTTATTGACTAAAAAATGGAAATTATTATATTAAAATAAAACAATTTACCAAATATACTTTGACTTCTTAAACTCCTTGTTGATTCTACAGATATACTTGTTACTTTACTCACAGGTCCAATATCAGGCGAGTTAATAATCTTAGTTTGATTATTTTTTTCATTCAAAATAATTTTACCAATAAATTCAATAATAACCTCTGTTGTTGGTCTTTTATTTGGATTAGAATACCAACAATTTTACATTAATTCAATATAACCTTATGGTGCATTTGTAATAATAGGAGGACGAAAACCATCACATATTTGAATAATTAGATATGTATCAGAATCTTGGAAATTCCAAAAAGGCCTTCTACCTGCCATTATTTCCCACATTATCATACCAAAACTATAGATATCTGAGGCTTTTGTATATTTATTGCTTTTTCGCCCTTGAAATATTTCTGGAGCAATATATGGAATAATCCCATAATAGCCATTTTCATCAATAGATGCTTCAGTTGATAATTTACTAATTCCTAAATCACTAATTACAACATCATATTCGCTATCACAAAGAATATTTTCACTATGAAAATCTCGATGAAGAATTTCTTGATAATGAATATTATGAAGTGCATGAATAATTTGTCGTAATATTATTAACTTATTATTCCATTCCATACTATAAAAGTTTTTAGATATATAATTTTTTAAATCATATTTATAATATTTCATAACTATAACAAAATCTTTTGTTTCAGGATTCTGGATAATTCCATAATATCTATTTAAATTAAGTAAAGAAATAATGAATCCATCATTTAAATTTACATTATAAATCATTATAAGCTTTAAATGAATAGATATAATTAAATGAATTAGTATAAAAATATGGGTATTATAATCATTGAATTAAAAAATATTTTACCTAATTTAATTCCTTATAAGTAATATTATTAGAATTATTAAGTTGTTTTAAAGCAACTGTTAAATTATAAACTTTATATTCAAAATCTTCTTTTTCTTCATTCCAATAAGGAGGGCAAGTATTCCATATTGCTTTATAAACTTTACTAAATCCTCCTTCACCAATAATTTCTATAATTTTAAATTGATTATAAGGAATAAATAACATTCTAATCGATTCTTGTATAAAATTAAGCTGTGTATATTTAATAAATTTATCAATCACTTCATTTCCACTAGATATATATAATAACTTAGATTAGTGTTCCGCAAAAAATCCGATTTGATCCGAATCTGATCCGGATCCGACGGATCGGATCGAATCGGATTTATCGGATTCGAATCAAATTCAGATCCGGATTTGGGTTTGATTTGATCCGTCGGATCCGGATCAGATTCGAATTCGGATTTGATTCAATCCGACGGATTCGGATTTGGATTCGGATCTGATCCGTCAGATTCAGATTTGGATTCAGATCCGATCCGTCAGATTCGAATTTGGTTTCATATCCGATTTGTCGGATTTGAAATAAAAAAATC